ATTTTGCCCTTTTGGAGTTGTTCACATACTGGACTTCTTCACTTTTGATCATCATACCCATCATCTTCGGTGTAAACCACTTACTACCCTGCTCATATTGATCCGGAATTCCTTGACTTTGTTAACCTCTTTGTCGCCTCTTATTGACCAACATATTTACCCCTTCCATGGCGTTCACTTGTCGTGGTGCTTGAACTTGCTGCAATTGAGTTTTTGCCAACTGGTTCATAGTTGTAGTCAACTTTGCTATCGCTTGGCCATGGTCATGGAGCTCTTTGTGCAGGTGAATGACTGTGGGATCACCTTGTGGCACATTAGCTTGGCTTTGCCACGCCGAGGAAGTATCTGCCATCTCGTCCAGTATCCACACGCCTCAACATAAGGTGTGTTCATAAAGTTTCCCCCTGCTAGCTGGTTCACTACACACTGATTGGTCGTTTTGATGCCACGGTAGAATGTTTGCTGGATCATTGCTTCGGTCATGTCATTATTCGGACATTTTTTCACCATCGTCCGATACCTTTCCCAGATTTCATGAAGTGGTTCATTAGGTTCCTGTTTGAAGGCCAGGATTTCATCTCTCAGTGTCGCCATATGCCCCAGCGAGAAAAACTTAGCTATAAACTTGTCGGCCAACTCATCCCACGTAGTGATGGAATGGTTATGAAGTCTTTTAAGCCAGTCCAAAGCTTTCCCTCTAGTGGAAAAGGGAACAATCTCAATCTCAATGTATCCTCCGACACATTTGTCTGTTTGCTTCCCAGATATCCACAAAGCCCTTTAGATGTTTATATGCATTCTGATGGGGAGCGCCTGTGAAGTACCCGCTTTGCTTCAATAAAGTCAACATAACGTTTGTAATCTGGAAATTGCCCGCCCGGATCCTGGGTGGGACAATTGCACTTGCGTAGCCTTCATTTGGAAGCACCCAAGGAGCTACTCTTGGAGAAACTTGGGGAGGGTCTGGAATGTTTCCATTGGCCTGGCGGCCTCTTCTTTGAGCTTGAGGTACTAGAGGGACCTCATCTTCAGCATTATCATCTACATCCTCCCCCGGAACATTTCCAATAGGATCATTGTTTGCCATTTTGTACCTGAATCGATTAACTCACACAAGTTAGTAAAATAGAAGGAAAGAAAAACAATACACACAACTAGTTAGATAGATAGCCAAAATCGTTTAGCTCCCCGGCAACGGCGCCAAAAAGGCGATCGGCTCCAACCCTATACCACTATAAAATGGCAAAGAGTGGTCGATGCAACTTTTACCCGAAAGGCCGGGATCGATATCCACAAGGAGCTAATATTGGTTGGGAGTTGGGTTTCTATCCAATCTATAGCTATGCGTATTGCTCTTAATTGCACTTCTAAACATGTTTGGATTTGTTTCTATTCTACTTTTAATGCTACTAATTGCTGGAAATAATCTAAGTACAATGCTTTTTGAAGGGATTTTCTCAATTGATAAAAAGCACTAGGGAAGTGACTTACACCTAGGCGAGTATCTAATGGGGTCTAAAAGTTAGGACAAGATTGTTATATTTGGGATCATGATATAATATTTGCACAAAATTACTCACTCTATACCTCTCGGTAGTTTGAGTGACTTTGCCCTAATTAGCTTTCTCAAGCCCAATTGGGTGTTCAAACAATGCAAGCAAAATTGGCTCAAGTCGGGTATCAATCTCTTGAATACACCCCAATTCCTTGTTAGCTTGAATTTCCTAGACTTAATCTCTCTTTCTCAAGAAGAGTCTAAGTCAAAAAGGCATGAATCAGTGTTTGCAACCACCAATTCAACAATTAAAGCATGAATCAAGCTAATATCATTAACCCATAAATAATTAAGCCCTAAAATAGAAGACCCATTAAATACCCACGCTAAGGTTGGGTCACAACCCTAGCTAATGGGTTTAGCTTCTCATAATCAAGGTAGAAATCAAAGATGGAGATGAAATATAAGCCATAAAAGTTGATTACAAGAATAAAATCTAAGAATATAAGCTAAAGCTACTCTAAAATTACTTAAAGTGGTAAAGAACGGCTATTCCCGAGCTCCTTAATACAAAAGATCACCTAAAAAGGTGAAAAAGAACTGTTTATACACAGCTAAAATTACTAGACAAAAATACCCCTATGGATGTTCCGCTGTCAGCGCAATACTGAACGCTTCAGCGCTTGAACTTTCGCGGCCGCGCAAAAGCAAGCACGGACCATGTTTCTTCCATTTTGGACTGGGACTAGGCTTGATTTCGCTGGGAGCGTAAAAGAGACCGCCTCACCATTGTCTTCAAGTGCGGCCGCGTAAAATGTTCGCGGACCGCGCTCTTCATTTGAGCTCAAATTTCCAGGCCTCTGAATCTCTATTTCGCCCTCAGCGGAATTTATACCGCAGCCGCGTCAGGTATTCCACAGCCGCACTATTTCATCGCGGTCAGCGGTCCCTGTCTGCATCCAAAATACCTTCTCTGAACCTCAATTCCGTTGTCAGCGTAATTGTGGCCGCCTCAGCGTTGGACCTTCCGCAGCCGTTCTTTTCTTTCGCTGTCAGCGCTTTTATCTCAGCTTTGAACTTGTGCAGGTTTAACTCATTTATGAGCTTGTTATGACTTTCTTGCTTCATTTTGACCAAACCCTGCAAACAAGCACAATAAGTTAGTTTTCGGGAATACTTTTACACATTTTTTATCCAAAACCTAAGCAAAAGAGAGCATACGATAGGCTAAAATCCGTAGTTATCAGCCGTCTCGAGGGCAACTATTTCGAGAGTGACCCCCTCGATATCCGCGATCGGTTGGGAAGAAGAAGTAGCATGTTGAGGAACTTATTTAGATGTTTTTGCCATTTTTATCTAGAAAGGTTTGAGAATTAGAAGAAAAAAGAATAGATAAAAAGCAGAGTGTAATAATTTGGGGAAAATCTTGATAAAAAGCCTGGAAATTACTATGAAAACTTGAGGAACAGGGATGAAGATGTGAAAATTTGAAGAAAGTTGGTAATAGCTTGAAAGATCGAAGGTAGAAGCTTGGTCGGAAAGTAGGAAAATAACAAAGGATGGGAGCTTTTATAAAAAAAATTCGCGTCGCTTCGCATTTGGAGGCAACCAGCTGATGGTTGACACGTGTCCAAAGTCAGAACGATGCGACTAATGGGACGTTTCGGCTTCTTTGTCATTTTTTTGTAACGTACGAAAGAAGGAACCGGGAAGCATCTATCGAAATTTCTCATTGTTTCGGCGAACGTACCCTCTGAGAAACGAGGGGACTATCTGTATACGGGTAAAACCGAAGGTAATGAGCACCCCGATTTTTGGGTGGGGCGAACGAAGAGAGGACATAACTGCGAGTAATCGAGATTGAAGCCGGGAGCCGCCCGTATCAAAGCTCGAACTAAACACCTGCCCCTGGAGCCATTAAAATCGTGACCCCGGACCAGATTCGATTAACGAGACCACAGGAAACATTGCCAAACGACCGCACACGATTAACAAAGGGTTGTGATATCAGCGCCCAGCCGGATATCACGGCATGAATCTCGGCCCGTATCAACGGTAGATCAGTAATTAGAGAAAAGAAAGATTTTTACCTTTTTTAGAATTGTACTTAGGATAAAACTCCCCTACTATATAAAGGGAAAGCTGACTATTCATTAGGCACGTTGTAACACGCATACCAAGGCAATATACATCTGTTTTCTCTGTTTCTAAAAGTTATTCAAAGTTCTTGCTTTTGTTCATAAGTACTTCATAAGCGTTGGCTCGAAACTGAAGGCACGTTTCTTGTTAAGCTTTTAACTGAGCCCGGACCCATTATCATTATTGGTTTAGCTATTTATTCTGTCTTTGATTTGCTTATCTAACATTATTAATCACTTGTATCGAATTAATCCACGTATCCTCAAAACCGCGTATAAATTTAATTGTTATCCATTTTTAAGTGTAAACAAAGAGCAATATTGACTTGCTAAGGAGGTTCAAATTTTGTGTGATGTCAGGTTTTTAAGCCTCATTAGCTCCGCTTTGCTGTCTTCTTTTAAGTTTTAATCCTCTTGGTAAAAATCTTGAGTTCATTTCTGCCCACAAAGACTTAATCAGACGCTAGCAGATCTAATTAAATATATAAAGATTAAACTTGTAATTAAAATATAAATTATGGATCCACTTCTTATTATAGAGGCGATGATATTTCGCATTCGCTATTAAATTTTGAATAGAGGTGAGTTGTAAGTACTAAGTAGGGTACAAGACCAATAAGAAAAAGAGGGCCTGATGTCCTCGTACAAAAGCTTACACCATAAACCATCCATCCCCTATTTAGTCCCTTTGTCCCTACACACTCCACATGCCTTTGTTTTTCAAGTCTCCCTCCATAAATACTCCCTCTTTCCTTCCCATATTTCCCTCACAATCACAAAACATTCTCATACTAAACTCATATCCCTTGTATATTTTTCATTATAAACTACTAGCTGATTATCTCTCTTTGTAATCAAAATGGGTCTAAAGAAAACAAGCAAACAAAGCACTCAAACAGCAGCTTTGAAACAAATAATCAAGAGGTGTTCCAGCTTCGGAAAGAACGAGAATGGTTTCCCCCATGATGTTCCAAAAGGTCATTTTGTTGTCTATGTGGGAGAAAATAGGAGCAGATATATAATTCCTATTTCTTGGTTGTCATATCCAGAATTTCAAAACTTACTTCAACGAGCTGAAGAAGAGTTTGGATTTAGCCATGAGATGGGCATTACTATTCCTTGTGATGAAGATGATTTCTGCTCTCTTATTTCCATGTTCAGATGAAGACCAAGACCAAGTTGGGTTTGACCAGCTAGGTTAATTAGGATATTAAGTAAATAGTAAGAGGTTTCCTTTTATTTTTAACTGACAATAGCCCACATCTAACTATTGTGGAGTTTGGGTTGATTTGTATATTGGTTTCATGTACTATTGGTATTTTCATCAGTGGTGTCGATTCTGCACCCGTGGAAAACTCTTCATTCTATTAGAGGCCTTTGTTTGTTCAGAATTTGCAATTTTCTTTTCCTTAAAATTTTCCAATTTTCAAGATTATAATTCAATGATAACTTAGTGATTATAATGTGATAACTGATAAGGATGCGATCATATCAATACTAACTCACCAGATTCCATCAGACTATAATGTGATAAGACCTCACATTGTTATTATATAGGTCAAAACATATTTACTTTGACTGCTAGCTTCTCAAACTTACTCTAGATTTAACTAGCCTGTAGTACTTTCTTAATAGTTTTTAAATAGGTTACTTGATTGTATAAATATTTTTTTTATCGTCAATATATAAAATTTAAGCTCGTTAAATATTAATCATCAGACTTGTATTGTCTGACTAATGAAGCTAAGATGTATGTGTAACTTCAACAGTTCGAAATTTGAAATTTTAGCCTCGCACATACTTCCACCGGCTAAGTAACAAATATACTTGACTACCTTGCTTGACCGCTACCTATACTTGCTTCTCCAGTTTTATGTTTGCACAATTTAACCAAATTATATTCGCTTACATTGTAAATAAGTTTATATTATCGGTGCATATTAACATGTTGTAGCAGATCATTTATGTTATGTATCTCTTACTCCCCCATTCACTTTTACTTGGCACGTTTTGAATTTTCACGACCCTTAATGAAGTGCATAATTTATCATGATACCCATATTAATTGATGCATAATTTTTTATTGGATTTGAGAAAATGATTTTAAATGAGTAATAAATATTGTGGGTATAACAGGAAAAAAAAAATTATCTTCTCTTGATATGCGTAAAGTGACAAGTAAAAATAAAATCTATTTTTAGTATACATGCCAAGTAAAAGTGAACGGGAGTATTTGATATCCAAACCCCACTAGTGGAATTTTACTGGGTTGTGTTGTTGTATCTCTTATTTGATATGATAGTGTGAAAAAGATTTTACATTGTGTTAGTACATAGTACAATAGTTAAACTCTTAAGTACTATATATGCTTCTAATCAAATTATGTTTTCAAAAATTGGTGAATAGGTGCCTTGTATTGTGAACTTCTTTCCTCACGCAAATAACTTTAACTGTATTAGACTTTTACATGGGCTACTTATAGTTAGATTTGTATTATTTCTATGTTTATTGCTCTTTCAAAATTTCCAAATTTAAACGTTCACTATTTCTTTAACTAGCCATCTTATTCCTTCAGCTTATTATTACTTATTATTCGAAAAGGAAAGGTCTTAATCCATGTTAATCATTATGAAGAATAAGATTAATTAGTTTCAATGATATAATCAAGATAGCTTTTAATCTGATAATGTGATAAATTAACAAGATGTCGAGCCAATATTGAAGACACATACTTTTGAGCACATGGTTGTAGGACCAGTATAAGCATATTCCTACTATAACTTATCAATCAATTGAATACTTAAAATTGTAAAACAAAAAATTAGTACTATAATTTTGTCCAAATACTGAGTTCTTTCTTTTATGGGATGCATGACTCAGTCGAAGACAAAGTGAGATAGAAAAGGGGACAATGGTACACATGTGCACAGTGTTATTAACGAAAGACGCAATCATCTCTCACATCATCTTTTTATCATTAAAAGTAAGATTAGACTTTTAAAAAAAATATTCCAATGACTCAATTAATTCTTTTAGTTCCTTAGATTCTTAGGTAGATTTTTGTCTAATCGGTTTTTCTGTTGTAATGATCTGAAATGGAATCCGTCATGTGTTTTGCACTATCGATTATTAAGAATAAATTATAGAAGGATTGTTAGCAGCTTTTTGCTCAGGTTGCACTCTTATTTTGCCTTCACCATTCCCAGCCAAAATGCAAACATATTATAACAATATGATTCGAAACTTGGAGTTTTATTAGTACTTAATTAAGTCTTTTATGCTTTTACACTTGAATTATATTTTCTTCTGTCTACTCCTTCCAACAATCCACAGAGAGAATAATGCGTTTGAATGCAGAACAGTACAACAACAACATACTCATTATAATTCCACGAGTGGCGTCTGGAGAGGGTATTATGTACGTAGGTTTTATCCCTGCAGGTAGAGAGGCAAAACCTATGTTGCTCGGACTCTCCGAAAATGTGGCCGGATACGTGTCAGATCCTTCAAAAGTAATGCATTTTTAAAGGATCCGACATGGGTACGGTTACATTTTGGAAAGTTCGCGCAACATAAGGCAAAACAGCCTGTTCTTTATTCTTCGATCCTAAATATTAGTAGGTGTATTACTTTATTATATATCTATCCTTACTATTCCAACTAGGAGTAGTATTAATTAAGTAAAATATTTAAGAAGAGATAAATGATAATTTAGATCATACTCTTATGATTAAGGCTATTAAATAATTTTCTTAATGAGTGTGCAAAAATCATAAAAGACAAATAAACCAGAGGAAGTATTTATAGGTTTTTTTTATTTTATTTACTTTTGAAAAAGGATGTGTATTTTTGGATCTAGTCTTGAAAACCTTTGGGTCTTTGGGAACACAAACTTTCTGTTATGTATTATTTTTTTGAAGAAACAACATTTGTTGTTTGTTAATTCTCTAGTTTACTTGTCAAAATAGGTTTTCCTCGTCCTATCTTGGGTGGAAATATATGCTATGTTTTTTCCTTTTCATTTCTTCCTTTTTTAAAAATAAAATTTCGAGGCAGCATTTTGTCAAGGTTTATGATTTGGAATTATGGAATTTAAGAAAGAGACTAGCGATGAGAAGTACATTGTAATTTATAATTGCACCGCCACCAGATGAGGAAAATAGCAGTGGTACTAATCAAAGAGCTAAAATTGATTGACACCTTACCTTAGAGTCCACAATCTAGAAAGGATATTTTTTCTCATAGCAATGGTGACTTTGTCAAAATAATACTTGAGACACCATTTAAAGTCGGTGTCCCAATATGTACCTACCTAAACAAGCATTTATGTTCTACTGGGTCATTCATCTTGAGTATATTTCAAGATTGGTAAGCATTTTTCTGCCCTGTGAGAAGACTTTTGAAATTGATATTTCCATGAAAAAAGTAAAAATTGCACACATGAATGCAAAAACCGCAGGACAGATTCAGTACTAACGTACAAACAACACTAGTCAATTTTCAATCGACATAGTTGGGTAGCATTTAATATGGGGACATCAATGATTCAATTAACAAGGAATCACAATTCACAAGTCATGGCTTAACAACCACAGAAAAGTTTGATTTTTTTGCAAGACAAAGCATAAGTTCATGGACCCTTTTTTCCAGTTTGTTTTTAGATTGGAGAAGAAAAGACTCCAAAAGAGAAGTTCAAAGTATTCTCAGAGCCGTCAGACATGCATTAATGGCCCATAGGATGTTGTTCTATGGCTGAGACTGTTCAAGCTTGAGTATACAATTATGTAATCTCTTTTCCTCATCCCATTGGCAGTTTACAAACACCTGTCCAGATGTTTTCCTCATCCCATTGGCACTTTACAAAGACCTGTCCAGATTTCCACCACACAATGTGAACAGACCTGCCTAAAATCCGCCTAATCAAACTCTCTCCTCCGCCCCCATCCTCAAAACTTTAGTATACATTTCTTCCCTTTATTCCATCATTAAGCTAACGAAACGGGGAGTTCAGGGAAATAAAATTAGGAGATATTATAATATGACTTTTTTTATTTATGAAAGTAGTACTATCTATTATTGCACCGAGTACTTGATCTCCCACAACACATATACTTGATAACTCTACCACCAAAGCTTAGGTGGTAAAAAGAAAATTGCTTGGCGTATTTTTACTATACTGGATTTAAAGACTGATCTCCCAGTATCAATGATCCTAAGACACTCTCTTAAATAAACAAATATAACCATACATGAACAATGGCACAGCAACTATCTACATGAATACAATGTTAGATTACAAAAATAATCTTTTAATATTAAGCATAATAACTCACAATAAAAGGATATAACCGGAATTCTAGATATTAGCCTTATAATCCTATCAGTTTTAGACATATATAATACTACACGTTAGGAATCCTACATGATTACCTTTAGGAATCCTATTACTATAATTACTTTTAAGTTGTCTAATCCACATAAAATTGAACAAGTAAATATCTTTAATCATGTAATCTCATTACTTTTAGGATCTATGTTGCTCGGACTCTCCGAAAATGTGGCCGGATACGTGTCGAATCCCCCAAAAGTAGTGCATTTTTTAAGGATCCGACACGGGTGCGGCTACCTTTTGGAGAGTCCGCGCAACATAGTTTAGGATATACTTCTTAAAAATTCATATTACTAATTTAATTCGAAAACGTATTATAATGTCATATTACTAATTTAATTTGAGAATGTGTTATATTGTCCAAATCCATTTAGAAAAAAGAGAGCCTATACTATTATAAAAATATAAACATAATATTAATATACCAAAATAGCCCTAAATATTAAGCGGAAGAACTCATGGGGAAAGGACATAACTGCAATAACCTATTTTTGGACTACAATACCTTCTTTGCTAATTTTTAATATTTAATATTTTAAAATTAATAAAATTTTATCTATTAAATTCTTATTAAAAATATGTGAAAGGTTTAATAAAATCAATTTCATAAGAATCCTCCTTAATGGCAATACATTACCACTCCATAATGTCCAATACCCAAAAAAGTAAAAGTAATATTAAATGGACTGCATAAAGAGTTGAAATTGAGAAAAAAAATATCCGCACGATAATAAATTTTTATATTATATTTGAACTATTTTCCTACTCAAATAATATTTTTTAATGAGTTTTTCGTGTAATATTGAAAAATACCCAATTATTAAACAACAACTAAAAAATATTTAAGAATATAAATGTGTGAGAAAGAGAAAAAAAATGGTTAGCAAGAGTAAATATCACTAATGGTTCTAGAAACATAAAGAACTAAAAGTGAA